CTTTGCGCTTCCGCTGCTTCACTATTTCTGGTGAGACCTGTGAACTCTTGTTAAGCTGGAGCAAGCTCGTCGAGCCAACATGCTATCAACTCGAAGCTCCATCAAATAGTTCTGTGTATGGCTCATTACGTCGATGGGAAGTAACCAATGTGCAGTATGTTCCACCCCCCCCTCGCCGAACTGCCCCTGGTTCTAGTGTCTCCAAGAATTTTCACAACCCCTCCCTATTGATCGTATTAGACTAGCGTTTGTGAATTTAAGGCATCTGTTGCCTCAGTAATTGATGAGGTAGTTGCTCTGTCATCAGCGCCGACCACCACTACTCAGAATCCAGTTCAACCGATGAACGAAGGTTGCTCTACTATGCTAGGTTAGTTTGCTAATCCATTCAGTTGGCGTTTTGTATGAAAAGGCCTTCTACTGTCAGCGAACCTTCTGCCCTCCGGGAAAATTTCGCAGAGTACAGACCTCCTCCCACAAAGTTTGCTCGTTTGTACGCAATCCCTAGATGGCAATGGTTTTCGCTTCACGAAATCATTGCAGAGCTCTTGCCATTTGCTCGTTTGACGAGTCACGGGTTTCAATGGTCCTCTACCCCACTATATATTGAATACTGAGACGGGCCTAGTAAAAAAAATTATGAATAGTGGTGGCATTATGAAGGCTTCTTGTTCAAAAATAGGTTTAGTTTTATGCTTTCGACATTGCGTTTTTAGCCAACCCCTCCAACATATTGATATTTTTTGAAGGGGACATTCATCTACTGTGAGGTTCAACAGCACGGGGAAACACTGTCAAACAAGGACTTTTGTTCCCTTTCTGACCTTACAAAGTACAGCTTATGTCAACGTATACAGCAATATTGCTACCTTGTTGATGTGAGTTTGTATTCGCTGTCATTCAGAACTATTTTTTTCATTTGTGTGGTATTTTTTGTGATCGAGTTTTTTTAGAAGGGATTTGGTATTATGGATGAGGAACTGGCATGTATCGTTCAGTGACTGTCAAATGGAGTACCAATGATGCTAGGCGTCTGCAAGAACAAAGTGTAAAACAAAGAAGAAGAGAGGATGCGGGTTGGAATATGGTTCCCAGGCGCAGTTCGGCGACGAACGGGGGGGGGGGCACTTTGCGCTTCCGCTGCTTCACTATTTCTGTGAGGACCTCCGTGAACTCTTGTTTAAGCGGAACAAGCGTCATGAGGCAAACATCCTTACACGTCGAGGACTCCTCAAATAGTTCTGTGATGAGCTTCATGACGTCCACGATGGGAATAACAATTGCATAGGTGCATATGTTCCAAACCCCCCCCCCGCCTCGCAATGCCCCCGTTCTAGTGTCTCACGAAGAATTTTCACGAACCCTCCTAGTTGATGTATTAGACTAGCGTTTTGTGAATAAATTTAAGCATCTGTTGCCTCAGTAATTGATGAGGTAGTTGCTCTGTCATCAGCGCCGACCACCACTACTCAGAATCCAGTTCAACCGATGAACGAAGGTTGCTCTACTATGCTAGGTTAGTTTGCTAATCCATTCAGTTGGCGTTTTTATGAAAAGGCCTTCTACTGTCAGCGAACCTTCTGCCCTCCGGGAAAATTTCGCAGAGTACAGACCTCCTCCCACAAAGTTTGCTCGTTTGTACGCAATCCCTAGATGGCAATGGTTTTCGCTGACGAAATCATGACGAGCTGTTGCCATTTTGCTCGTTTGAACGAGTCAGAGGTTTCAATCGCGTGCTCTCTCCCACTATATATGAAAACCTGAGACGAGGCCTAGTAAAAAGAAAGGGTGGCATTATGAAGACTTCTTGTTCAAAAATAGGTTTAGTTTTATGCTTAACCCCTTTTCTCGTCTAGAAACCGGTTCACTGATCCATGAGCTTCCTCTTTCCTTCCAGACTTGTGTGAAAATCCTCATATCCATTGCGCCAACAATTTCCCAAGGAAGGATTTTGGCATGATTCCTATCTGCCCACAGCTCGAAATTCGGGTAAGGTGTCGATAGACACCTGCTCGGAGAGAAATTCACAAGAGTTTTGTCCCCTAGGGTGAGTTCACTCTCCGAACGCAAATATCATGCGTTGACTTGAAAACCTTGCGCGTTCGCGCCCACGTCACATTTGCTTTGCGTAAAAGCGCCTGATCCCTGAGCTGCGAACACTTTGGCACTGGGCACTGGAGCATATGTGGCTGGTATCAGGCGATATTCGTGGTCAGGTTGTCGTGGTCTTCCCTTGACCCCTCCTATCAACCGGTTCGCGCCCAAATATCTTCTTCTACCGGTCACTTTTCCAAATCCATGGTTTTTTCGTGATCTCCTGACTCATATCGCGCTAGGAAGTTTTGTCAGCAAGCAGCGCCATTGCTCTTTTTCTGAAAATCTCCCTCGAAACGAATGTTATGTCGCTGCCCTGGTGCTTCTTGTGAAGAAGTTATCAATTCCCTGTAAAGTTTCAGCAAAATTCATACAGGCAACTTTGCTAGAAGTCCCAGTTGCTCTTTTGAATTATTTTTAGCTCCCTTTTTGCACTCATCTGTATCTCTTGAAGAATCTTTGAAGACTGCTGCATAGCGATGTTGGATATGCCTTGTGGTAGGATTTCTCATTTATTTTTGCTTTCAGATGATGAGAGTCCAGTGTTGCTCAGCGAACCCAAGGAGGACGAGAGAAGGTAGTAGCTCTCAACTCACACTTTCGATATATTAAATTGACAGTTATACTAATTGCAGAGCTGATATGTGGTTAAGAAGTGAAGTGGAATTTGGTTGTATTGATTCGTCTAACAAACGTAGAAGATTGGAGTTATATCGAAGAATGGTTACGAACAACAAGAGAATGCAGTGTTGCGGGATTTGTAATCAGTGCCGATGTGCGGCTCATTTCCGGAGAATGACATCGAATCGAAATCGAATCATCATCCTACTCTCGCTGTTGCTCAAACAGGATTTGATCAATGTTCTAGTAGCGAAGCAAGCCTACAAGGATCGCGATGGTATCTTCATCTGTCACGAACATTTCATCCAAGCAGTAAGTCGTTAAAGTCTTGGGTCCATTCTGTCTCCGCTAAGAGGCGAGCATTTTCTGTCAACATATCAGTCTATTTTGGAGAGTTTTTAGACTTCTGTGAAGTTATTATACGCTCTCAGCTCCACTGACGCGCCGTTTGTTTGATTTTGGGACGGAATTTATTGTAGGCGCTAGGAAGTGCGAGTAAACGGTTGTAAACCAAGGGCCAGCCAGGAATTTTGCTCAGAATAAGCCAGAGTAAAAGCGCTACGGGAGTGGGTGGAACGATTGGTACGTATTATTTTTCCCAGAAACTGACAATAAAGAAAATGCCTGCCTGTGATTTTGAATGTTTCGGGTGCTTTGCTTGTCACGTCTATGGAGTAGGGTCCGGTGATACTGAGTTCTTCCTTCAGTCTTACGAGCAATGGCGCCTGCTTTCACGGACCTCGCTGCAAGAGACGATTCTGCCATCACTAAAGGCCCCGGAGATCACCAGCGAAGGGAGCGTAATGAACAGGTGTAGGGAAGGGAGTCCTATTTGTTCTTAGGAAAATATTTCCGGGCGTTGGTTTTCTCGGACATTCTTGTTGATAAGCACTAGTGCTCTAGATAAGTACCCCCACCCGCTCAACGCGGCCGTTGCTTGTGGAAAAACCAAAGAACTTTTTGGAAATCTAGGAGAAAGTAGTAGGAAATTGGAAGTGCGGAAGAACATGGTGGGGAGAATAGGGAAGGGGCTCCTACGAAAGAGGAACCTCAGGGCTGGTATCTTGTAGAATTTTTCCTCAGCGGCAGGAGGTGCCCTCGATGCCGTGTATTTCATATAGTGGGCTGAATGAGTTTGCTGTCTTTCGTCAGTATTTTCATGAAACATTGGGAGAATTCAATGCTTATGGCCCGTTTGGTCTAGTTATCAGTTCTCACTCAATATGTATAATTAGCTACCAGTCGCCTCGCCGGCTGACGCCGGCGTGGCTCCTTCTGATACGGCCCGGCTGCGCCGGGCGGGCGCGGCTTCGCCGCGCGTGCTTTCTTTCACATATTTCTAGATTCAACTGATATCCCCCTTTTGTTCTGTACTCCATTTTTTTTCCGGTGTCTGAAGTACTCTTGAGCTATTTTACAGATTCTTCGTCTGACTCCGTCCACCTCGGAGCAGGCCACAATGTTTGTGCCCCACAATCCTCACCGACGACCCTCTCCTGACCTTAATCCACTTTTTTTCCGGTCTTTGAAGTGCTCTGGGACAGTTTTAGGGAATTTTCGTCTGGCTCCGCCACCTCGAGCAGGCTCCGCCCACAATGTTTTTGCCCCACAATCCTCACCGACGACCCTCTGCTGACCTTGATCCACTTTTTTCCGGTCTTTGAAGTGCTCTGGGGCCGTTTTGCAGATCTTTTGTCTGATTCCGCCCACCTCGGAGCAAGCTCCGCCCACAGTGTTTTTGCCCCACAATCCTCACCGACGACCCTCTGCTGACCTTGATCCACTTTTTTCCGGTCTTTGAAGTGCTCTGGGACCGTTTTACAGATCTTTTGTCTGACTCCGCCCACCTCGGAGCAGGCTCCGCCCACAATGTTTTTGCCCCACAATCCTCACCGACGACCCTCTGCTGACCTTAATCCACTTTTTTCTGGTGTCTGGAGTATTCTGGAACCGTTTTACAGACCTTTTTGTCTGGCTCCGCCCACCTCGGAGCAGGCTCCGCCCACAATTTTTTGCCCTACAATCTTAACCGACGACCCTCTGCTGAACTTAATCCACTTTTTTTCCGGTATTTGGAGTGTTCTGGAACCGAGCTACAAACATTTAAAATGAATACCCTGCGATTTAGGGCAAGCCCCGCCCACTGTGGGCGGGTCTCAACACGCTTTGAGCGTGCCCTATATTCGCCCCAGATATCTACAATTCATAAACTGAGGCCTTATTGCGACTTTCCAAAACTCTCGCGAATCGCGTGGGCTTAACTGAATTTTGCGAGTAAAGCCACCGCCCAACCTGTGATACACCCCGCCCATTTAGGGTGTACCTGCCACAGTTAGTCTGGCGACTCCTTACTAACCTTATTCCCTTTTTCCCCATCTTTAGGCTGCCCCGGAAGCGAATTATGAACATTTTTGTGCGGAACCCCAAACTTTCGGGGAGTGCCCCGCCCACTGTGGGCGGAGCTTCCCTTAGGTCAAGTGTGCTTTTTATTTCTTGTCCCACGCCCTACCCATCCCCACCTTGACCGGACCTCTCCAAGTCGTTCTTCAGGTCGAACCGAATTTCCGGACAGACAAACTTACAAACAAACAAACAAACTTACAAACAAACAAACTAACTAACTAACAAACAAACAAACAAAGCGAATTATATATATGGGGTGATAATGTCAAATTGCATAATGCCTCATGCCACATGAACCAGCTTTGGGCGGTCATCGGCTTGGAGAGGAGGGGGGGGGGGGGGGCGGAGGGGGGGGGGGGGGGGGGGGGGGGGTGGGGGGGGGGGGGGGGAGGGGGGGAGGAATTATATGCCTTTGCTCCTGTTACCTGACAAGCCTATTCTGATGAGAGCTGTGAACTCTTATGAAGCTGCTAAATGGCCCAAGTGAGCCAGTGCGATACAAGAATTTACATTCTTCACAAGTAAGGTCGCCATACTGCGCTCACCCTGACAAGGAGGTCGTTGCCGTAGCTTTCGCGTGGTGCGTGAAGAAATCTTTGGAATCTGCTTCGTTCTGGGCCTCTTTACGGCGTAGGTCACTTGCAACTTTGACCAGTTGCTGAGTGGGAGGTCCTTATAAAGGGGCTATTTGAATCGAAGCGAAAAATCGCCGCAAGTGAGCTTCCAACTTGGATCATGTGCTCGAGGGTGAACGGCTTCTTGCATGGTTTCATCAAAGTAGAGCGCTAGCGAGTGTGCGAGGCATCGGATGCCTAGAGGATAGAGTGAAAGGTTTCGCAGATTCGGACAAGGAGAGTGGGGTTGATGGAATTGGATCGCCCTTTGCCGTCGTGGCTTTTTGCATTTTTAGATTTCGCTGTTCTCGCTTCCATTTCTGTCTGCGCATGAATATAACTCGGATATTTGCCATTTATGGGCACATTCTGAGTAGCTGTACCTCATGAGTCAGTACTATTCAACTATTCCTACTTTCACGCACCATTGAACAAGACGTTGATCCTCATAGGCTATACAGTGGATCTGACTGCGAATTTAGTAACTTCTGGTGTGGCTGCGATTATAGACAATTTGGGGCCACATCTTCTTTCCACTGGATTCGTTATGTACACCAATATAGGGAACCGATTCAAGCCTATACTGTCGGCCAAATTCGGCGGACGACAAAATAGGTGTTTATATTTGTGATCAGGTACTGATTACCACTAAAAACAATTTTAAAAACAATTTTTTTGACCTTTGGGTTTTCTTATTGGTTGTCTGCGAGTCCGTAAGCGTCAACGATACGTGCATCCGCTGCTTTACAGATGTGAGACTCCGCTCACACTGCCGACCAAATGGTCGGTCACCTACAACCCGAAAAAGTCAAAAAAAATTTTCGCTCAAAACTTGCTCCTAGGGGTAATCGACAGTCCTGATCACGATTCTAGACTTTATTTTCGGTTCCAGTGCCATCTGGCACCGGCATAGCGCCGAAGAGCTGAAGTCTGTGCAACGTAACGAATTCAAACGAAAAAGTCCATAAAAGTAGGATTGTTCAGTTTATCGTGAGTGTTTTTGTTGGGACCAATTATTTAGACAAACATGGGTCCAAAAAATGAAAAATTGTAGACAAAATTTGTCCTCGGTGGGATCCGAACCATCGACCTATTTTTTACGCTTTTTTTTATTCGTAGAAGCGCGCAGCGAAAATGAACCTCAGTTTTCTGGTCCTCGTATGTGCCTCTACAATATGCACAAGGCCATTTTGAAAAAGCTCACCATGCCCTGAACGACCTCCCTTGTGAGTAGCATTTGATGCTCACACCAAGGTAAACAGGGCTTAGCTTACATTCCGAAAGCTCCATTGCTTCGAAGGAGCCCTCATTTGAAACTACCTGCTTCTACTAGATTTTGTGAGACCGTGCAAATTGCCGCGATCGGAGTCATCTGTCTTTGTAGGGCGCGTTCCTCGTCACTGAAATTGAGGAGAAATTTGGCTGTTTTGATTGGCTTCGTCTACGTGATCTCCCTATCACCTTCATCTCTGACATGGTACACTGTATTCAGCTATATGGGGAACTAATCACGGTTAGTTTTAAACATATGTTGTCATTAATCAAACTCAACTTGTTGTTGTTCAGAATTCCCAGCAAGAACCGAAACGGCATGATGATGTAACGTATTTCTCATGATTATATGTGTAGTAATCGTGCATAATAGTGAACTGGAAAATAAAAGAAGAAGTCAGATGCGTGGGAACAGTACGATTTGCGCAATGTACAGGTGAAGGATTCTGGAAGTTGTTCTTTTTTTTACTAGGCTCTATATTCATGGCTATTAATTTCAGGAAAGTTTCTCCACATCAAAGTACTGCGGAAATCAGATTAAGGGAGCTGTACAAAGGCGAAGCTGTCGACGTTTCTGGTAAGATTTGAGTACGGTGTAAGAACAAGTCCTTTACTGAAGGGTTGCGTGTGTGAAAGTGTCAAAACAATTAAATGACGAGGTAGGATATGCTGTATCGGCGTCAATGAGGTCCCAAGACACGTCATTAACGTGTTCTGTGACGTCAGAAGCGTGTCATCTACCTTTTAACAGGCGACGTACTGAACCGCGAACCTAGGCTAAATGAGCACTAGCGTTCATAAAGCCGTGTAGAAACCTCAAATAGTTCAAGTCATTATCATATTAACCCATTCTTCCTCTTGTTTCGTTCCATTCTTCAAAACATATGATTACATTCCAGACGTGTCGCAGGAGAGCTGTGAAGAAGAGTTGTTCACTTGTAGCAAAAAAGAGAGAAATGACGCAAGGTATGTTGCTGATGAAAATATTCCATTGATTCACTGTTTTGTATTCGTCTCTCTGCAACGCGAGAACTGCCCACCCAGCAGTCGCACGTTTATAGACATAGCGGCTATATTTACAAATATCACAAGACTTAGCGTCCTGGTCACTTTTAAATGTCCAGTATGGCATACCCTTTGAGATGCTTACTCGCGCTCAGTATTCACGGAAAGAATCCCACCACTCAATCTTTAAGTTAATTATTGCAAGAACTTGAGAACTCAACTTACAGGTCAGTCTTATTGCGCGACCAGCCCGAAGATTCAAAAGATTCGAGTGTAGCAGATTATCTTCAACCGCCCCAATCTCACTCTTCTAGGTCAGACTCAATCCCGTCTTCATCTAGTGAGTCTTTTTCTCTCTGGTGCACCCTGCAAAGCTCTTCCACTATAGGATTGAAACAGGATTTTCAGGAGACTCCATTGAAGAAAAACCTCAGATAGGACCAAACACCGACTCCAAGTTTGAAAATGAAATGTTCAAGGAGATCCCAATCACGGACCTCTTACAGAGTGAGAATTCTACCGAAAATGTGTGTGCATGTCAATCAGGTGAGAAAGCGTCCATTATATGGACAGATTTCTAAAAAAGAAGGTTTACTCGAAATCCACCGCTAGTGGATGAGCGCGCGAGTGTAGTGGCAAGTTGCACGCTTACTATGTGCACGGCCGGGGATCGAATTTAGGATGGTTTCCGCCCAAACCAACCTTCTACCTTCCGAGGACGGTTAATTGGTATCAGACCCGTCTGGGAGGATAAATACACTGCCCTGTACATCGGCTGTCCAGAAGTTGAGTGCATACCGCATTCTAAACAAGAGTTTTGTCAACGACAAGACTTTCTATCCTTTATTTTATTTTATTTTATTTTATTTTATTTTATGCCGTTGGATGGGTGCGCCGTGAGGAGGAATAGGAGTTTTGGCTTTCACCATCCTTCTTTTGTGTAATTCTTTCCCAACATAGGCTCGTAGCTCAATTTTGAGTGTGATTCAGCTTGTACAGCTACTTGTGAGGTCTCCAGTATTTTAATCTTTCCAAGCGGGTTTTGTGCCGATTAGCCGTCCCGCACTGATGCTAGCCATGGGAGCCGATCCGTGATTTGCCCCTAAATCGTGGTTTTTGCCACCACACAACCTTTGCCAGAATCCGCCATAATACCTCTCAAGAGAACCGTGGAGAATCTCAACATATGTTATTAGGGTACTGATAGGCTGTATTAACACACGTTGAGGGAGGGTGGGGGATCACTTCGTGATCGAGCAGTATAGGACCGTTACTTCTTTTCACCATTTTCTTCCGATTCTCATCGCAGTCCATTCTCCATCATACCAGTCTGGTCTTCCATCCATAACTTACTACTCGGCCCGTACACTCGGCCTGCCGCCAACGGAATGTTACGAGTTCCATTTTGAAAACATTAACCACATAAATTTTACATTCATTGTCATTTTCAATGATGAATTATGGATGATCTGTTACTGCCCTCTTTAGGAAACGGCGCGCTCAACAATGGTGATGTGGAACTTGAATACTATTACGACCCAGAGTTTGACCAGGATAACGAAGAAAGGAGTGAACGGTATTTCCTCTTCAAGATTCAGCCTAATAAATGGAAACTGGTTGAAGAGAGAACAGTTTTGAAGAGAAAAATAGCTAAAAATATTGAAGAGCCAAGGTTTTCATGGCGTGAGGGGGGGGGGAGAAGATTTTGGTAGGATGCTGTTTTTAGGCGACTTAGGGGCAAAATATTGTGACATTTTCGTCACTTTTTCCCATAAGTATCGTCGCCAAAAGGCTCATGTCTTGTTGAGGTTAACTTGAATCGACTTAAGGACATATTGTAGGATTGTCTAAGATGTGGGATCTTCTCCGTGAAAAAGTAGACATTCCCGCAGGGGCAGAAGGGTACCGCTTTCACTACTTGAAGGTGCGCAGCAAGAAAGTAAGAGGCTTGTGACTCTTCATGTTACTGATGTCCCCGCCCACCTCCCGACAAGCAACATATTCTCGTGACACACGCTGCTAGCCTGCGCTCTCTCGCTTATATAGTGCTTAGTGAGTTCAATGGAGGCTATTGGGGTGATATAGACTGCAGAATCGGACTTAGCATCTGACGCCACCTCGAAGTAAACCTCGCTTGCCTCTTTCGAACTCATCGAACACTGTATCGGTGAGAGGGCGAAGGTGAACGATGTGTGCTGCGGCCGTGTCGCGTCTAGTGAGGTCGTATAGCTTGTCAAACACCAGTGAGACCATCTTATGGCTTTTCCTCTCACAGCCTTCTTGTCGCGCACTTTCGAGATTGAAAAGTGGTGCACTTCTGCAGTTGCGTACCTGTCCATTTTTACATGAAATTATTCCAATTCTCAAGTGCACCTACAATAAATCTTTAAAAGGCTCCTGAAAAATGATTTCAAATTGTTCCAGTGTTGACGACGTTGATTTCGACTGCAATGAAGATCTCAGTGATGGAAGTGCTATCAGCGGCCAAGATGAATACCGTCCAAGGAAATGTCCTACGAAGCAAAACGTCAGAAAGAAATGGAACCTTTCTGCCTCAGCATTTTCGGGTCGACAGGAATTGACAGGCGAAATAAGACTGAACAATAACTTCACCCCGATCTCAGCGATGTTCGGTGCATCATCCCGCGAACTTCTCAGTCATTCCCATACGGGTTCTGGAAATGATGAGGTCAGATCTGTGCTAAAAGCGGTGCAAATCTCGAAGCGCTTCACAACGTGCTCATCATTATACCTGAGAAACGAAAGAGAGCCATTCGTGGATCGACTGATCACCGTGGGTGAGAAGTGGCTTTTTCCTAACAGCAAAGGCCATCTGAAGACATTCGAGTGTCAACCGGTGCTGCTCCGTGTGTGGTGGTCAGCCGATGGAGTACTGTTTCATGCGTTCCATCGTGCTACCGAAGCGAAATCTGCAGAAGTTTTCTGTCACCAAATCGAGTACGTGCACAAGGAACTGTCCAAGAATTTGCCCAAGGGGCAAGATACAGGAGTCATTCTGCTTCATGACAACACTCGATCATATGTGACACGGGACTCGATACTGCAATTAGCCAAATTCGGTTTTGAAGTCTTATCATATCCAGCGCAATCTCCTGATCTCTTACCTTCTAGTTTTTATTTCTTTAAGCATCTCACTGATTTCTTGGCGCCAAGGAAGCTTGCTGATAGAACCGATTTGGAATGTGCTGTATTTACTTTCTTGGAATCTAGACCACCAGAATTCTATAGAGACGCTTTTAGTGAGCTTGTTGTACGATGGCAAAAATGTATTGAGTGCAAAGGGAATCACTTTTCTTGATTTTTATGTTCTCATTAGTCTCCAAAGTGTAAAATATTTATGATCTGATTAGTCTCCGAAGTGTAAATAAAAGTCTTGATATTGTTGAATTTTTCATGTGTTGAGGACAAAATCTGCATGTATAGGGACTGGCCGAGTGAGGCACAGTTCTGTTGAATCAGAGGATTCAAGCTGCATTTGGAGTCGAAGCTCGCAGGTACGTTGCGGTATAGCTACAGTCTTGCTCGCTGCTGCTGCTGGGGCGTGTCAGCGCGGAGGGGGCTAGGTTTGGCGAAGCGCCCGCCTGTTTTCCACCAACTGCCGCCGCTTAGCCACTTCAAAGACTGGCGGAGTACAGGCTGGCCCTGCGCCAAATACACCTTCCCCCTCCCCGACACGCTGAGGTAGAGGTGCATCACTGAAAGGGCCTTGAATTCTCCAGCAAGTTGCACCCGTGTAAACAGGGCAGGAAAGGTAAGGAATCATGGGTCTTAAGTGGCTACTTTGCATCATCGCGTGTGGGAAATGTTATCCGTATAATCTCCTCAAAGTGAGGGTGTTGACACGACTCCCTTTCTCTGTCCACCTACCCTCCAAAGTAAACTTCGCGATGAACGATCGAAAAGTTCGTAGGGAGTGAGGCTAGAAACAGAAGTGTTCGGGCCGGTTGACTTGCCCGTGCAGAAAATTGAGAGGAAACCCTAGAAAACACTACAAATAAGGCTGTGCTTCTGACCAAGCGAGAGGCAAAGAGTCGATGTGGATATCGGGCGAGAGATCAGAGAAAGCAGCGAGAGAGCAAGCGAACGAGCAAGACAGCAGACAAGACATCTATCAACGTGGGTGGAGTCACTCGAGGCCGCTACCTTACCACTTTTTGACGTGGAGCGCAGGGCCGGAGCCTTGCCCTCCTTAACTGCACTGGGCAATTGCAATTTTAGTGTTGAGTTCTTAATCAACGCGTGCGCTTTGCCCGTTCTTTACATGGGTGGAGCGATGAGTAAGTAGCGCTTTTTTCAGAGTCTCTCCCTTTCTCCAGCGGAACAGGGTACGAACGCCTCAAGACATGCCGCGAAAATTTTCAAGCTATACACTCTGCTTCGCTGAGAATACTTTATAGAGCGAAATGTAGGCTTAATTCCGTGTCCGGTGCGCAGTTCGGCTTGATGGGGGCATTTCCATGGTTCCTGCAAAGCTATGCAATAACTGGTGCTCTATTCACACTTAACATGAGTTTACAGGTCTCACCAGGGTCAGACGTGTATTTCACAGGAAACGCAAAAGAAACTAGAATCAGTGTAAAACTGCCCTACCAAGATGAATAAATGCTCATGTTCATTTCTCTTAATTCGCAGGCATTGTTCTGCTAATCGAAAAGCATTTAAATTCAATGAGATGTGACGCATGAGAAAATGCGCTCTAATGCTAGTTTCTGCTCCCGCTGTCTATCAACTTTTTCAAGTCGACATTTTGTGAAAAGGAGGTCGGAGTCGATACTGGTTCACTCTTTTTTTTACGTGTAGATAACTGAATATTTATGCGTTTTTTATGAGCATATCGAGGGATTTCTCCGTTCCCGGTGCAAATTGTTACTACTAGCTTGTTTTTATTGGAGAACATGCGTTTCTTTCCTCACGTTGGGCTGCGTTCATGCTTTGCGACAATGGAGAATTGAGGAGTTGCGGAAAGATCGATACGTGTCTAACCCCTATCGCCAGTTCTCTAGGGGCCGTATGCTAACTTCCCTTCGGAGGGGAGATTTCCCCCAGTAAATCTCCGCTCTCTGCTGTTATCTCTAACAATGTCCCTCGTCTCTCTGTTTCTGCCTCTCTGCATTTATGTCTCCTTCCACTCTCGCGGAATCTCCCCCAGCGACATCAGGGCACATTTGTTGGGGATTTTAGAAGGTCTGTACGACCCTCTCCGTCTTTTTGGGAGTTGGTACGACCTCCCCCCCCCCAGCTCTCTGTCCTTCCTCATCGAATCGAGCCGTCGAGCGCGGGGGGGGCAGGCATATAGTAGGCATGAAACAGGAAAATCACGAAAAGTCAACCACCACTCCTACAACGCCAAAACGTAAATTGACTACCCCCCCCTCCCAAAATGACGAAAGTTTTACGACCCTCCTTTACAAACGTCTATGAAAGATCGGAAATAAATTTTTTCTCAGCCATACGACCCCCCCCCTGCCTACTGGGGATTCCCCACAACGATGTGCCTTGGACGACATTCGCTGGGGGAGAGGGGAGCATATCGATTATACTCTGCGCTGCACTATATTTCGCACCCAGAGCATACGCCAAAAAGAGTATGACGCCAGTAGCAGGAATGAGCCAGACGAAACGAGGGCATTAGCAGAGCAGTGACGGCAGCGGATTGGAGATTTACAAGGGGATACCTCCGTTTGAGGGGGAGTATAGCATACGGCCCCAGGACGTCAATTCTGCAATTCGACATTCTGTAATTCGTCAATTCTTCTGTGTCACAAAGTATGAACACAATTTAATTAGAACTGCAGCGATTGTAGGCTCTTTTGAAGCGTGCATCACGCCCTTACTTTATCTTGAATAGATTAGTAAATATTTGCGATTCAGGTAAAATTGCTGGAATCGGCATACTGTATTGGCATCATTGCCATCGGTGAGCGCTGACGTCATTAATATCGGCGAATCGATCAGCAATGGTATTCCTTGAGAATTACTGTTTTGTTTGTGGGAGTTTTTTTCCATGGTATTTCAATCTGGAGTTGCAGTGTCTGGAAAAAAAATTTAGCCCTTTTTTAAGCTGTAATCGGTGCCAAAATTGAGAAAATTTGAACGAATAAGTCTTGAAAGCTGCGTTCGTACCAGCGCCATTGTGAATCGAGGAATCCGCAAAGGATACGTACTCTTCATACCCGTGGAATGGAGAGGGCGTGGTCAGTGTTTGCCGGCGGCGTCCGCTTTTTTCTTTTGGCAAGTAACAAGATTGTATGGGATCGCCCGTATTAGACGCTTTCCACCAGTTCTTTTCGCTCCAAACACCTATGCACGAGAACGAGCATGGCGGCTCTCTAAACGCGCCGCATTTGTCCTACAAGTCCGGCGGAGCGTATCTCGCGCGGCATATCCGGCATTCTGCCAACTTTGGTGATCCGGCTTTTTTAGTAGCGGGTATAGCGCAAACCCTAGGACTTGAGTTGAAGAGCAGTAAGCCTTTTTAGAGTTCCCATTGCCCGCCCCCCACCTTCGCAAAGCGCGATAGGTTCTGTGGGAATCAAACACCTGATTACCGGCTGATATCTACCAATGTTCTTGTCATTACCTTCACCGAAACAATCCCATATGCGGAGAGAGCTCTGTCTCAAGTCCCACTGCGAGAGGTTTGCGCTCTAATCGCCATGAAAAAGCGCAGAACATCAAAGTTGGCAAAATGCAAGAAGCGCCGCGACACGCGCTGCGCGGACGTTGTAGGAACAGATACGACCGCCAGACATAGCCATACTGACCGCGTACCTTTATCCCCGAGAAACAAAACTGTGAATCTTTTCGCCTACCCCGGAGCTCCTTCATCAATGGTTCAGGTAAATATGCTCATCCGCTTTCCTCATAGGCTTTTTGCAACTTTTTGCACAACTTGATGTCCAACAACAGCCAAATACGGCACTATTCAGTTATTTCTACCCAGTCTTCCAAAAACAATCGAGTTTTTCACCGACTATTTTTAAGGGGGGGGGGAGAGATTTGCCTGAGTAATGGCGTTCCAGGGATAGTTAGACCTCCTGAACACGAATATCACATCCGCTCAAGCTGCTGGAACTGCTCGGCGCCGGCGCCAGGACACCCAACTTCGCCACGCTGAACACTCGTCCCAGGGGTAGTTTGACCTTCTCGATGCAAATATCACATCCGTTC